ATGATGTATAAATCTCAATTTCGAAAAATTGACCCTTATAACTGGTTTTGTGGTCCAGGGTCACACATATACACACACATATATATATATATATATATATATATATAGGTAACACTTTACAATAAGGTTCCATTTGTTATCATTAGTTAACCATATTAGTTAACATAAACAAGCATTTATTAATCTTAGTTAATGTTGATTCCAACATTTATTAATACATGATTAAAATGTTATTTAATGGACCTGAGCTAACATGGACTAACAATGAACAGTTGTATTTTTATTGACGAACATTAAAAAATATGAATAAATACTGTAACATATGTATTGCTCATTATTATTTAATGTTAGTTAGTGCATTTAATATATTTAACAAATGGAACTTTATTGAAAAATGTTATATATATAAACACACACATATATAAATATATATATACTTGTCAGTGGCTCACTTGTTACTTTTTTTTTAATGTGGAGCACTGTATTATGGATCTGTATTATGAATTGTTAACGTTTTCTCTTATCTTTTTTTTTCCCTCAAGCTGAGAAAAGTGGTAGATATGTGCATCAACCCTGACCCAGAGAAAAGACCCGACATCACCTACATATATGGCATCGCCAAACACATGCACGCCTTGACGATCGCAAACTGAGTCTGCTACCCGATTCCTTTTGCTTCTACTTTTAAGACCTTCGTCTGGCCCACAAATGTCATTTAAAGCTTGTTTTGCTCCATCGTAATGCAACCTGGCATCTTTCAGTACAAAAAATACAAAATAAGGCACAAAGCAAGGCCTTTGGTTTACTAGAACTACATCAAAAAGGCAAAAATGACCATTGACCTTTACATATAGCACTTCTAAGAAGAAAAAGCAAAGATAAGCAGTGTTGTAAACTGGTTTGACTTGATTTTAGCTCTTTCATATGTTGGTATTATGCGATGATTGCATATTTACCTCCATTTTTTTGTCCTGTCATTACTAGCATGAAATGTAAATCTGACATGCTTTTCAAAATCCCGTTCCAAGAACTTTTTCACAGCAAAACGTTATGAGAAAAACATCTCTATAAAAAGAGAATTAAAATTCCCCTTAAAAAGCAACTTTGTTGCATTCGAAATTTCAGAGGTTTGTCGTTCTGTTAAAAGAGCATGAGATCATAGTGGTATTTGTCACAATTTCCATGGACTAAATAACTAGCCCATATCTAAACCTCAGCAGTTTGTTCTTGCATCTTGCTGTGATGCTATAAAAACATGCATTCAATCCAAGTATTTCCTGTCCGTCCTTCCCGAACCTAAATATATTTATTGCAATACTTCTTGGGATTTTAAGCCTTAGACCTTTGCAGTTTAAAATGCGTTAAATAAATCATAGATCATGACAATACGTTTGCGTTTGCCAGCTATCGTGTAACGCATTCAGGGTGAAGTCTGTTTCTTAAAGGCAAATTCATCCCAGTATCCGCACCTCTACGGCTGATACTTGAACTTTAATAAATGATTAATGCAAAGGCGTCACTTGCAATGCAGTAACTTATAAATATTCACACAGTGCCTTGTTCTGTACTTCAGAAAGCGCAAAAACAGAGCCTTTCTTCCTGTAAACCAAAACACGTTTTTTTTTTTGCAGAATTGGCAACAATTACATCATTCAGTCGCTTTACATGAAACACACCTGGTGTGTCGAGTATCCTGAAAGAGGTACGTTTACAAATGACTTTTTGCAATGCAACGTGTGAGCCCGTTCGACCTCGTACACTTCCAGACTGTAACTCTGTGCTCCTGTCCTGCTTTCCAGAATGTGGCTTGTGATCTTTGGCAGACTCGGTCTAATATGAGTTACACAAACGTATGAAGTTATACTATACAGACAGCAGCTATTGCGCAGCACCTTTTGCAGACAGTAGGATTTGCTGTGATAGTACCAAATATAAAATGGTATGTTATTTTTCTAACTTTAGTCAAGAGCATTTTTAGTGTTTACCTTCTTCTTTTTACTGTATTTTCAGTAATCACCTTTTTCTTTCGTCTTTTGTTAACACGATAAGAGATTATGCTTGTTGCCTTATAGATAATAGTATGTATTTATCTTGACGAGGCACGCGAGGCCTGTTCCAGCGAGATCTGGATCCTTTACCGCGGTAAAGCACACATGAATCAAACGCTCACTGTCTGCCAGACTGTACTCTCTCTACTTCCACCCAAATCATTTGAGAGGGGAAGGAAAGAAAGGCAACTTTTTATTTATTTGTCTTTTTTGACGGTTCATTTGAACATGTTTAACATTCAAGATGCACATTAATTCTTTATATGCTAATTGAAATGAAAAAAAATAAATAAAAAAATTAAATGACTTCAACATTTTACATTGGTGTTGTGATTATTTAAAGTTTGAACTGACTATGTATATTCATTTAGCATTTGCAAAATTAGCATAACATTTAAACTTTTTAACTAAATCTCTATATTTTGCTGCGTTCTTAGTCGTTTTAATTGCACTTGCCAATCAATCCCCCAAAGCGTCGCCCACTCATATTTGCTTGTGTTTATTTGTATTCTTTTAGCGACTGTCTCCACTTAGCCCTGAGCTTTTTTTTTTAGCTGCCAGCGTGTCACGCTCGTGCCCCAGGGTCCGCGTCCGGCTTATCCCCTCCAGGAAAGACATCGGCAAGGGGACTATTTCCTCTCATTCTAATGAATTCCTCAAGGAGAGCGGTT